ACATGCGCTGAGGAAGTGCATCTGTTACAGGCAAGCTCTGTTGAGCGGCCAGACATGAAGGCTCCATGACTCTGGATTTGGATGCCATATCGTTAACTGTGCTTGAGAGAGGAGGTCTCTCTTCAGTGGGGCTACCAGCATCTCCACCAGTTCTGGAAACCACGGCTGATTGGGCAATTTCGGTGCCACTAACAGAACTGATTCATTTTCCTCTCTGATTTGGCAAAGCACGCGAGGCAGAAGTTTTACTGGAGGAAAAGCATATATGTGTACTTTCGGCCGGCTGTGAGCTAGTGCATCCACTCCCACGGGAGTGTGTCAGTGAATAAAACAGCGGGCAGTGAGTGTTCTCCGCTGATGCGAAGAGATCCACCTCTGCCCTGCCGAATACATTCCAAATCATATTGACTGTCAAAGGGCGTAATCTCCACTCCCCGTGGATTACCCCGCCCCTCGACAGTAAGTCTGCGCCGTAATTCAGGCGTCCGGGGACATGTACTGCCCGGATGGAGAGAAGGTGTCGATATGCCCACAGAAGAAGGTCTCTCGCCAGCTGCAGCAGCGACCACGAGCTCACGCCCCCTTGGTGATTTATAAACCCTACCACTCTCATGCTGTCCGTCCTGATGAGAACGTGACGGTGGAGAATGTGTGGGAGAAAGCACTTAAACGCTAGGTATACAGCACGAGGGGCTCTAGACAGTTTATGTGCCACAACATCTCCGTTTTTTGACCACGTCCCGAAGGCTGGTCTGCCGTCACATACGGCTCCCCAGCCCGTGCTCGATGCATCTGTGGTAAAAGTCTTTCTCCTGATCACTTGGCCAATAAGAACACTCTGGCGATACAGAGTCATATCGCACCAAGGGGTCAGCGCATCCCAGCAGTCGCACGTTACTTTGATGCGCAAGGTGCCCTTGCGCCATGCGCCCTGTGGCACCCGGTCCTTTAGCCAGAGCTGAAGCGGTCGCATATGTAGGAGCCCTAGTTTGCACACTGTCGAGGCGGCAGCCATCTGGCCGAGTGTCCTCTGAAAGCATTTCAGCGGGGGAGAATGCCCTAACTTGAAGACTGCGAGAGAGCTGATCAGTTTTTGTGAGCGTTCCTCCGACAGACGCGCTTTCATATTGATTGAATTCAGCTCCACTCCTAAAAAGGAGATGTTCTGGCTCGGTAGCAGCATGCTCTTTTGCATATTCACTGTCAGCCCTAAGCTCTGAAGAAGAGCGAGGAGTCTGAGCTTGTCGCTGAGCAGCATGCTCTCTGATTGGGCTAAGACTAGCCAATCGTCGAGATAGTTCAGGATGCGCATTCCGCTCTGCTTCAGAGAAGAGAGAGCAGCATCCATGCATTTCGTAAATGTACGAGGGGCCAGGGATAAACCGAAGGGTATGACCATGAATTGGTATGCTTTCTCCTCGAATGCAAATCTCAGGAAATGCCTGTGGCGAGGGGCTACCTGAATGTGAAAATAAGCATCCTTTAAATCCACAGAGATAAACCAATCTCTTGATCTGATGTGTGAGAGGATTTGTCTCAGCGTAATCATTTTGAACGAGCGCTTCGAAAGCGCGCGATTCAGCGGTCTCAGGTCCAAGATTGGGCGGAGTCCACCATCTTTCTTTGGTACCAGAAAATAACGATTGTAGAAGCCGCTCTCGCGGTCTGCTAGGGGCACTGTCTCTACAGCGCGTTTTGCGAGGAGGTTGTGTATTTCCTCTCGCAGAACTGAGGCATTCCGCTCACGTACAGTGGACATTAACACACCGTTGAAACGGGGTGGCCTGCAGAAGAACTGAAGCGTGTAGCCGTTCTTTATTGATTTCATAACCCACTCTGATACCCCTGGCAGTGCCTGCCACGCTTCTGTGAACTGTGACAGCGAGCAAGGCGGACTGCACACCGTGAGGGATAACTCGCCATTGGGGGGCGGGGAGTTTAATACCACACGAGTGTGAGAGTGAGTGATGGGGGAGAGGGGAGTGAGAGGAGGAGAATTGCTCTGATATTGAGGTGAGTTTTGTATGTTTTTCAACTTTATTCCATTGCATAGTGGAACAGTCAAAAAACGCCGCCCTCAACAGGCAGGGGGGCGTGGTGAACACACACAGCGGAGCGAGCAGACTTCTTCAGTGGCACGTCTTCGGCGCTGGGTGCAGCATTCCTTCTCCGAGAGACAGCGTCAGGAGCGCAGCTTTGATTCAGCTGATTTGATTTTTGATTCAGCTCTGTCAGGGCGGGGTCTCTGGCCCTTCAAGCCCTGACGGCGCTTCAGCCAAGGCTGTCTTGGTCTCACCGCCGGCTCATGTTCGCACCGAACAGCAGCAGAAGAGGCATGCGGTCTTCCGGAGTGCTGTGCTGAGGAGGAGCGGGAATGCGCAGGAGGGTTCGCGCCGCTTTGGTAGGAAGTGGCTTATGGCCTTCGACTGTTTCTGCGCTTCAACAAAGCGCTCCGTGAACGTCTCTACCACTGCTCCGAAGATACCTGAGGGATTTACGGGAGCGTCCAGAAGGGCCGTTTTTTCAGAGTCCTTTAACTCGGTCAGAGTAAGCCACAGGTGCCGATTGAGTACCACAAGATTCCCCATGTTGTGGCCGATCGCTCGAGCTGTCACCTTCGTCGCTCTGAGGGCCAGATCCATGGCACGTCGGAGCTCTTTGAACACTTCAGGGTCCGGCCCATCCTCATCCAAAGACTTGAGCAGCTTGGCCTGATACACCTGGAGTATCGCCATCACGTGCAGTGCTGAAGCTGCTTGGCCCGCCGCAGAGAAAGCCTTGCCAGCGAAGTTTGCACTGGTGCGGCAAGGTTTAGAGGGGAGAGACGCGTTGTTTCTCACTCTCCAGTTCGCCGCGGCTGAAGAACAGAGATGGGCAGCGATGGCCTCTTCCACAGGGGGGAGTTTAACATACCCCACTTGGTCAGCGCCGTCCACAGAAGACAGGAGGGAGGATCCCGGGTTATGCACTCGACTGGTGAGTGGCGCGTTCCACGACTTCGTTATATCGTCATGCACCTCGGGGAAAAAGGAGCCGGGCCTCCGCGGGGTGTCCTTTCGGCCACGATCCGACTGGAGGTACCACTCGTCCAGACGGCTTCTGGCCGGCTCGGTAGGCGGCGCCCATTCCAAACCGAGCTCATCAACTGCCTGGGACAGGACGCTTAGGAGCTCGACATCACTATGATGGAGGTCCCCCGCGTCGCTGCCATGGGGCGCAGTGTTATCCAGCGGGCTGTTAGACCACTCCTCTCTTGCAGATGCTGCCACTGAAATGGCATCATCCTCCTCTTCAGCGCCCTCCATGGCACCGAAGGACACCACATCTTGAGCGTCGGGGGAGGGGTGGAGATCAGCGTTAATGAGGCGCACTGGAAGGGGACCTGCAGCAGGGGGGTAAGGAGCGCGTGGGCACTGAGCCGGCGTGGTCTCGTCACCTGCCCCTGACAGATCCACATCAGATGCTCGTGGAACTTTCCTCCTTGGCTCAAAAGAGGCTGCAGAGGAAGAATGCGGCAGGGCTAGTTGGGCGAGTTCATCTCCTTGGACGATGGCCACACGAAGCTTGAGAGTCCGGAGGCTCATATCTCCACAGTGGGGGCAGTCCGACCCCCCAAGCACCGCCTCTGCGTGGGCGCAACCCAGACAGAGGACTCACGACTTGTGGCCATCAGAAAGTTTGATTGGCTCTGCACAGGAGAGGCAATCGTAAGTCATCCTTGTTCCGATGCTCACCGGAACACAGCAGGGGAAGAGAAGGCGTGTCCGCTGCAGCGTGTAGATCACGGTGAGTAGTCTTGTTGATAGGCTTCTTGCTTCTCGTAGAAGGTTGGCTGAAGGAAAAGATTCTGAATGGCTGACCACAGCCATATGACCCTGCAGCCCAAGACTGGTTGTCCACTGAAGCTAAGCAGGGTTGAGCCTGGTCAGTACCTGGATGGGAGACCTCCTGGGAAAACTAGGTTGCTGTTGGAAGAGGTGTTAGTGAGACCAGCAGGGGGTGCTCACCCTGTGGTCTGTGTGGGTCCTAATGCCCCAGTATAGTGCTGCCCCCCTGGCCTTTGTCAATCATGGCCTCCTAATAATCCCCAACCACTTGATTGGCTCTATGACTATCTCTCCTCTCCACCTGTAGCTGGTGTGTGGTGAGCGCACTGGCGCCATTGTCCTGTGGCTGTCAAATGGATGCTGCACACTGGTGGTGGTTGAGGAGAGACCCCCTCATATGATTGTAAAGCGCTTTGGGTGTACAACAAAATACACAATAAAGCACTATATAAATGCATCATTCATTCATGACGTACAAGCATTGCTTTATATAGAGTGGGAGCCCCTCATATTTTGCGCGCTTGAATGCCATTGGCCAGTTTAGATTTTTAATCAAGTAGAAAATACAATAATAATATTAATAGCGAAAAAATTCACGTGGAGAGTCATAATGCACAGCCAGAACCAAACGGACAGAACGGCAAAACTAACTGAATTATAACTGCCACCGTTTAGAATAAAACAATCTTGTATTTTATGACCAGAGCTGATGCAAAAAACAAAACAATTTGTGAAATGTTTGCGATTTGTAGAGTAAAGTACCAGCAGCTCAAGCATTTTCATAATCTCTAATTTGTATAAAAAGACTTTGATTCTTGAACTCATTCTTGTTAAGTCGGCCGCTGTTGTCACCGGAAAAACGTTTACCCTGCAAGCGCCAGTCCGGAAGCCAGGATCACGAAAGTGTGAAAAAGGCTAATTCGCAAAGGCATCGAAGTTCCAGTTTTGAAAATGCCCATAATCAGAGAACGGCGTCTGCAGGGATCTTTCCTAAAGACTGGCGATTTGTTGTAGACTGTCTATCTCTATAGCCTAGATATGAGTAATTTTTTTCGTGATGTGTTGTTATGTTGTGCATGCATTATTTAGGCTATATTTTCTCTCTTTTTAGTTTGGGTTTTCTCTCTTTTATTAGTTGGCTGTTTGGACGAACTCTGACGCAAGCGACAGACTATGGCGTGTAAGTTATAACTGTTGCAAACATCTGTTTTTCTCACATAACTGTCAAAAAAAAAAAAATATATATATGATATTAGAAGTAAAAATCTCATTGTAAAATGTTGCTATTTCCAACAGCCAGTGTTTCGCTGTCAGAGAGAAAGATTGTGCTTTTTGGGAAAACAGGAGATGGCAAAAGCAGCGCTGGGAATACAATTATTGGAAAAAAGGTGTTCACCACTAAAGCTTCAGCTAATTCTGTAACAGATAAATGTGTAAGTGCAGACAGGATGCTAGATGGAAGAAAGATCACAGTGATTGACACACCTGGATTCTTTGACACAGATCGTGATGATGAGGAGATCAAATCTGAGATTGTGAAAGCTCTGACTGACTGCGCTCCAGGCATCGATGCTTTTGTCGTGGTCCTAAAGGTCGGAAGATACACAAGACAAGAAAACGAGGTGGTACAGAAAATCCTGAACACCTTCAAAGATGAACACCTCTTAAAACACACAGTGATCTTATTCACTTTTGGTGATCAACTAGAAGACCAAACCATTGAAGAGTTTGTGAAGGCCAGTTCACAACTACAGGAGCTGGTTGATAAATGTGGAGGTCGCTGTCATGTCATCGACAACAAATACTGGAACAACTGTTATTCAGGGTACACGAGCAACAGGGTTCAGGTGAAAAATCTGCTGGAGACCATCGACAAGATGGTGGAAGAGAACGGCTGCTACAGCAATGAGCTTCTTCAGATGTTGGAGAAAGAAATTCAAGAGGAAATGAAAAAGAATAAGAACTTGCCTCCAGAAGAGCAACGAGAAAGAGCAAAGGAAATAGTTCATGGAACATTTCTTAATCAGCTTGGAGGAGCATCAATATATATATATAGAGTACACTGAAAAAAATTATGTTGGATTAACATTAAAAAAATATGTATATCGGTTGCACATATTTTAATTATGTTCTCACAACATTATTTTATAAAACAAATTTTATAATTTATGTTTATGTTACATAACTTATGTCAAATGAACATGATTTTTTATGTTGTTTTTATGATTTTTGTGCCACGTACCTCCTGTTGATTTAACATAATTTTTGTTTAAATGAAAGCTTTATCCACTATATGCAGTGGTGTTTCAATAAATTAAATAAAACTATGATAAAATGTACAATAAATCCAGATAAAATTAATAAACAGAATAAAAAAGGCTTTGGTAAACTATAAGTAGTACTTTTTAAATAAATAAAAGCATTTTAGCACCCTAATATTGTAGATTTCACAACTACAGGAGCTGGTTGATAAATGTGGAGGTCGCTGTCATGTCATCGACAACAAATACTGGAACAACTGTTATTCAGGGTACACGAGCAACAGGGTTCAGGTGAAAAATCTGCTGGAGACCATCGACAAGATGGTGGAAGAGAACGGCTGCTACAGCAATGAGCTTCTTCAGATGTTGGAGAAAGAAATTCAAGAGGAAATGAAAAAGAATAAGAACTTGCCTCCAGAAGAGCAACGAGAAAGAGCAAAGGAAATAGTTCATGGAACATTTCTTAATCAGCTTGGAGGAGCATCAACAGGAGTGGTGATCGGTGCTCTTCTGGGAGCATGTGTTGCAGTAGCTTTTGTTTATACTTTATTAAAACCATTGGCAAGATGTATTTCTAAAAGAGGTGCAGTAGTAGTGACAGAAAATGTAGGGGAAACAGGAGTGGAATGTAAACTTGTGGCTTCAAGTGGAGTAAGAGTAGGAGGAGCAGTAGCAAAAGCAGGATTAGTTGTTATTGGAGTCGCAGCTGTTGTAGGAGCTGCTGGAGGAGGAATCACTGGATGGAAAGCAGCAGAAGAAGCTGATTCAGTGTGTGACGCCATGATCAAGGCAGCACAGCTTAACTACGAGTGAAAGCTTTATCCACTATATGCAGTGGTGTTTCAATAAATTAAATAAAACTATGATAAAATGTACAATAAATCCAGATAAAATTAATAAACAGAATAAAAAAGGCTTTGGTAAACTATAAGTAGTACTTTTTAAATAAATAAAAGCATTTTAGCACCCTAATATTGTAGATTTTTAAGTAGGGCAATAAGCAAAAACATTTATTGGAAAGAAATACTGTTTTTTTCAATAGTACACAACAATCCACACAGATTACAAATATACCGGAGACATGTTACAGACATAGCTAATTTGTTTGAAATGCATCTCTTAAAATATAATATAACCCCATTTAAAAGCAAAATCCAAAACTCAAAATCTAACATTTCATTCCCCTCAACCCACGCCCCCCAAAAAATTGCTTAACGTAATACAATGTTACACAATAAGAACAATAACAGCAGAACTGATGTCATAAAAAATTAATTTCTACATTTTTTTAGGAAGGACTTTCTTTGAAAGTGTGCTGATTTTAAAGCTCCAAGCAGCAGAAGAAGCTGATTCAGTGTATGACGCCATGATCAAGGCAGCACAGCTTAACTACGAGAATGCAAAAGCTCTGGTTGAGAAAGCAGTAGAAGTAGTTGAGCTTGGGTCTAAGAAAAAAATAAAATAAATGGATATTGACTAGCATTTTCATTTAGAGTAATGCATGATCTCCAGCTTTAAGTTTTGGGAATGTGTAAATAACAAAAAAAAAAAAAAGCTTTTCAGATTCATTTAGACTCATGAGTATTTGCTTGTGTGTTAATTAAATTGTGTTGCAGTCACACGTGTTTGATTCTCTGTTCAGTTTCCTGTACATGCGTATAGATGTGGCCTGGGTTTCATTACCGCAAATCTTACCTAGAACTGTATCTTTTCTTCCTTGAGTTATCAGTGACAAAAGATAATAATGTATTAATATATGTGTGACTGAGTGTGTTTGATTATTGCACAGCCAGTGTACACGATAACGGAGATAAAAAAATAAATAAAAATGGGGTAAAAGAATGTGCCTTTAAAATGATACTCTACAACAGTGCACATTGTTTTTTTTGTTTTATATTTGTTTTATTCTGTGCATTATTCTGCATCATTTTCATGAAAATGTGTGTTCAGTTAAAAATAAATAAATCAATACATTCTAAATGTTTGTGATTGCCAGAATGACTTCAGTCAGCATTCAGTTCAGAATTATTTGTATTCACATTTTATTTTTTTTTTCAAAATTGTAAATGGTACAAAACTTTACTTTTAAAACTGTATTTTGTCCAGTAGATGACGCTCATGCAACTAAGTTCTCTGGTAAGATTTGCATTCATCTCCAAGGCAAACATGACAATTCAAACATGATGTTCTTCATATTTGACACACACACACACACACACAGACACACACACAGACACACACACAGACACACACACACACACACACACATAGGAAGGACTTTCTTTGAAAGTGTGCTGATTTTAAAGCTCCACCATTATACTCCTCAAATGAATACTTCAAGGGATCATTCACCCAAAAATGACAATGCTGGTATCATTTACTGAGCCTCAAGTTGTTCCAAACCTGTATAAATTTCTTAGTTCTGCTGAACACAAAGGAAGGTGTTTTGCAGGATGTTTGAGGCCAGACAGCTTTGGGGCAGCATTGATTGCCATAGTAGGAAAAAAATACTATGGAAGTCAATGCTGCCCCAAAACTGTTCGGTTATAAGCATTCTTCAAAATACCTTCCTTTGTGTTCAGCAGAACTAAGAAATGTAAACAGGTTTGGAACAACTTGAGGCTCAGTAAATGATACCAGAATTGTCATTTTTGGGTGAACTATCCCTTTCATCAGTTAAGTGGGCAGTTGAATTGTGCAGTAGCTAATGCCCAGTTATCCAAATAACTGTAAGATTATCTGGCCCTCGTTGACGATCCTGATGTCTCCTGGTCTATCATGGGCATTGTCTCCTCAATGCATCCTGGGAAGAGGCCTTCATCTGCAGCCTGGAGAATGCGCAGTTAAAAAATGAGATTCAGTACTGCTCTGGAAATATCAAACTTAACTTCAATAATTTAGTAACGTCTGTATCCTGAGAAATGTAAACTTGAATATAATAAGAACCAGTCATGGTCAACAAAGACTGATTACAGATAACTGTTAGACCTCAGTTCTAGGATTGTGAATGTTAGGCCAAGAAATCCAATAGTGTCTTCATACAACAAACTGTAAAATTATATAGCACACTTTGAATGCGTACATGGATAATGGCAGAAATGTCCAAAGTGTGGATGTCTTGGATGTTTCGGTAACTCCAACCTAACTGCAACTGCTACTGTGCTGGTTTTTCTACTGTACAGACCGTATATTCTATTGTCTTACACCAACCCTACACCTAAACCTACCCCTTGCAGGAAACTTTCTGCTATTTTAGATTTTCAGAAAACTTCATTCTGTGTGATTTATAAGCTTGTTTACCCGTGGGGACCTCAAAAATGTCCCCACAAGGTCAAATCTAACTGCAACTGCTACTGTGCACCCTTAATACACGGACACATTCAATGGACAGGGAGAGAGAAAAATAATATATTAATATTAAAATTTGCAACATCGTCAGATCAACTAAACATACAGATTACAGTATAGTTTCATAAATACCATCAATGTAGAGGCTTTGGACTGACAGTGAAGTGGATGTCAATAAATGCACTTGTCTGGTGAAATATCAGATATCTGTAAAATATCAAAAGTACGCATCAGTTTTAAAACAATTATTATAATTAAGACTTTTGGATTATGCTCATCAAATGATATTAAGACGCATATCATTCAAAGCAGTCATCAGAGATGTACACATGCGAATGCAACCTCTTAAAACAAAAGTAAAAGTTTTAAATAATACTCACCACTACTAAACAGCATTAAAAAAAAGGGAGAATAAGGGGTCTTCACAGGACAGGAGAAACCAGACATCTAAACAGAAGGCATATAAAATGTTCATTTTCTTTAAAACAACAATCATTGTACTGGATTTTTAATAATAAAACTGATTATTGGTTATGATTATTGATTATGCTCATTGGTTTAAGCAATAGTTCTGTTTCAAAATGTTTGATTTTTCAAAAGCCTGATATCATGTTTTTATGTGTATAGAGAATGTGAAGCTGACGTCACGCCGCGTTGAGTTCTGGGAAACTGCTTTGTTTATCCGCCATACTGAGAGGATCGCGCTGCCTCTCCGCTATTGAGTTTAGGGCAGTATTTTGATTTTCTGTCGTGATTGTGGAAAATGTCATCATTGTTTGTCAGTCATGCTGCATCGAGATTTGCAAAAGTAACTCCAATCATCATTCTGAGGAAAAACTGGACAATGCAGTGTATTTTTCGCCTTTTCTATGTCTAAAAACCCCAAGGGAAGCAGGTCGCGGAGATGACTAGAAGACGCCGGATAGTAAATCTATTAATAATGCCACCGATTAAACCCACTGCCTGTCACTCAATAAAATAATCATATTGATGCATGTTTTTGAAAGATTTGATTTTGTTTGGTTTAACAAATAACAACACCTTCGCGAGTATGACTCTCTCTCAGCTTGTGAATTAGCAGAACTTGAACAGGGACATTAAAACGCTTAACACAAATAACGCTGCATGTGACTTAATGTACCAACACAGTGATAAAGACAAAATTGTAAAGCATACGCTACGTGCAGCTACGCACATAAGCCCCAAATGTGGACGCAACGCGTTTATTTACACGTTAAGCGTTTTCCTCTCATGTAAAGAATGCTTAATGTACCGAGACAGTGATATTAACCCAGATAGCACATGTACGTCTGCAAGATGTCTGTTAAAGATCTCTTGATCTGGAAAGCATCTGCTTTGGACAAACATCTGACAGGCGTCTTTCAGAAGTCAGGTTTACATACATTCTAAATCATAAACATCTTAAAGACATCTAATAGACGTCTATTTGACATCTAAAAGGAAACGTCCTATAGACGTATTGCAGATGAGCAAACACTCTAAAAAATACGTCTTGCAGATGTAAATGCAGACATCAAATAGACGTCTCCGAGATGTATGTGTGCTATCAGGGAAAAGACCACATTCTGTACACACCTTACTAATAAAGCATAATATCTGCAGAAAAACTGATGAACCCAAAATATGAACTTTAAATACTATCTTCTTAATGCATAAGCGTTTTCTTAACGTGTAATTAAACAAGTTACGTTAATATTCTGGCCTCATCTGCATGTCTTTTAGCATCACTTACTACATTAAACCAGCATTTTAAAATGCTACAAAACAGTTAACGCATTCCCTGTTCTATTTCTGATGTAGTTCAAGCTCTTTGCAACGGCCGCTTTGTCGCGTCCATTGTAGACATCTCCAGGCTGTTGCGGCACAGCACGACAACGGTAACGTCCGGTGTAGACGCTTTTAGGCTCAGTTTCTCATACTGACGCAAATTTTAAACTAGTCAACGTACAAAGAAAAAGATTACACACATTTCGAACACAAACTATAATATACATGACATTTTCAGACGCGGCTAAAGCTAGTGTTAACGTTAGCTAACTTGAGCATTAACACAAATGTAACTTTTAAAACAATGTTGTTTGATATGACAAGTACATAAAACCTGAGTGAAAATGTGCACATTCAAATACTGAATGGCTGCTCTAAACTGAATTTTATTTTCAAGTTTTAATTACCTAGATGGGCGCGAATCGGTTTCCTTCGCAAAGGGGCGGGGTTTCTGAAGAAAACATAACTACTTCATTTAGCTTCAACATGATTAATTCTATATGATTGAACATCCTTACAGAATAAATACATGGTACATTATTAAAATATGTTTATATGAGAAGCATAAATTAATCATGTAAGAAATGCGAAATGCATATTTAAAAATGTAACCACCCCATTGCCATTTTTTTCAGTGTAGATGTCTATAGTTCACTCATTGCAGATGAATCAAGCAAGACACCTTCCAGTTTTCCACACTCATGTCCACCACTGCACCAAGCCAATAAAGACAATGCAAGTGGCTTACATATCACCCCCCCCCTGCTTTTTCTCTCCTCTTTACTCATCATAATCTCCTAAATCAGTTTTGAAATCTTTAAATTGAAGGGAAACTCTGAAAAGTGATTTTCTAGCTTCACAGGTATGGAGATGGAGAAAATGTGCTGTTTCATTCTATCCATGACCACAGAACAGGTTAGATCAGCTCCTCCCTTAAACAGCGGCACACAGAGAACAGCCAAAACGAAACTGAATCTGTAACGCTACATTATGGAAATACAAGTAAAAATGTTTTTGGTATAGCTGCCCATTGACACCCTCTCCAACTGCTGTGCTGATTCTCATCCATGTGAGTACTTTACATTTTGACACCATGTACTGATAATGATTCATGCCATCTGACCGATTCTTTACAATTGTAGCTGATAATCAAAAGTAGTGTTAATACTGTGCTAGGTTGTATTAAATTATGCAATTTTATCAGATATAGATATTCCACCGTTATTATTTATTTTTGTAATTTTAATGTAGTATATGAAAAACTTTTACATGAAAAATGGCAGTCTACATTAGAGCATGGAAGTAAAGAGTTATTATGTTCTTCTGTGCATATGTATTTTTAGTCTTCGAAAATCCTGCAGCCATTCTACTGTCGCACCACACAAACAATATCTATGGGCCCTTTATCTATGACTTGGATATTGTTTGTGGTTTGACACTGTATTGTTGGATTGTTGTGTTTTGCACTGTGCCTGAGATATATATTGCATTGGTTTTACAACAAGTTTGCCAGCCCATTTGTGGAATGCACAAGAATCAAGATCTAGCATGTCAAATATGCTTTAACCACAGTTGCTGTAGCAATGCCAAGCTCCTCAGGTGAAAAAGTGCACTTCCATAATGTACTTAAAGGCAAGTTTACTTAAATAGCACATTTCATACACAATGGTAATTCAAAGTGCTTTACATAAAAGGAAGTAAAATAATTATAAAAAAAAAAAAACAATCACAACAATCAAGGAATTTAAAAATGTTTAAAATTATTTAAAAATTGATTTAAAATTACTTTAAACTATAATAAAAAATGATTATACATATAATACAGTGCAGTCAGTTCGGACATAGCACAGTGCTCATTCACTAAATGCACTGCTAAACAGATGAGTTTTGAGTCAGGATTTAAATGTGGCTAATGTTTTAGCACATCTGGGTCTGTATTCACAAAACATTTCGTCTTACCAATAGCGCATAAATTAATCATGTAAGAAATGCGAAATGCATATTTAAAAATGTAACCACCCCATTGCCATTTTTTTCAGTGTAGATGTCTATAGTTCACTCATTGCAGATGAATCAAGCAAGACACCTTCCAGTTTTCCACACTCATGTCCACCACTGCACCAAGCCAATAAAGACAATGCAAGTGGCTTACATATCACCCCCCCCCTGCTTTTTCTCTCCTCTTTACTCATCATAATCTCCTAAATCAGTTTTGAAATCTTTAAATTGAAGGGAAACTCTGAAAAGTGATTTTGTAGCTTCACAGGTATGGAGATGGAGAAAATGTGCTGTTTCATTCTATCCATGACCACAGAACAGGTTAGATCAGCTCCTCCCTTAAACAGCGGCACACAGAGAACAGCCAAAACGAAACTGAATCTGTAACGCTACATTATGGAAATACAAGTAAAAATGTTTTTGGTATAGCTGCCCATTGACACCCTCTCCAACTGCTGTGCTGATTCTCATCCATGTGAGTACTTTACATTTTGACACCATGTACTGATAATGATTCATGCCATCTGACCGATTCTTTACAATTGTAGCTGATAATCAAAAGTAGTGTTAATACTGTGCTAGGTTGTATTAAATTATGCAATTTTATCAGATATAGATATTCCACCGTTATTATTTATTTTTGTAATTTTAATGTAGTATATGAAAAACTTTTACATGAAAAATGGCAGTCTACATTAGAGCATGGAAGTAAAGAGTTATTATGTTCTTCTGTGCATATGTATTTTTAGTCTTCGAAAATCCTGCAGCCATTCTACTGTCGCACCACACAAACAATATCTATGGGCCCTTTATCTATGACTTGGATATTGTTTGTGGTTTGACACTGTATTGTTGGATTGTTGTGTTTTGCACTGTGCCTGAGATATATATTGCATTGGTTTTACAACAAGTTTGCCAGCCCATTTGTGGAATGCACAAGAATCAAGATCTAGCATGTCAAATATGCTTTAACCACAGTTGCTGTAGCAATGCCAAGCTCCTCAGGTGAAAAAGTGCACTTCCATAATGTACTTAAAGGCAAGTTTACTTAAATAGCACATTTCATACACAATGGTAATTCAAAGTGCTTTACATAAAAGGAAGTAAAATAATTATAAAAAAAAAAAAACAATCACAACAATCAAGGAATTTAAAAATGTTTAAAATTATTTAAAAATTGATTTAAAATTACTTTAAACTATAATAAAAAATGATTATACATATAATACAGTGCAGTCAGTTCGGACATAGCACAGTGCTCATTCACTAAATGCACTGCTAAACAGATGAGTTTTGAGTCAGGATTTAAATGTGGCTAATGTTTTAGCACATCTGGGTCTGTATTCACAAAACATTTCGTCTTACCAATAGCAGTAAAAGAGTTTTCTCTTAAAACCTATTAACAAAGCTGCTGAGTCAAACTTTTACTAAGTAATAAAGAGAAGTCTTAAGCTAAGGCTGATGATACACGGGCCAACTTTATGGGCAATTTTGCTGGGCAACTTTTTTTGAGCAATGTTTCTTCGGCACTTTCCCATCGAGAATGGGTAACAAATTTCAATATGGATACTTTCGTTCAGTCGTGGGTCCTGTGTCTCACCTGGTTGCCTGTTGACGGCAACATTAACCAAAGTTGCCCGGCAACATTGCTCAAAAAGTTGTCCCGTGTATCATCAGCCTTAGAGTAAGGGCGGGGTTGACCTCGTTGCTATGGATGATGTCATCGTGCTTATTAACTATACACACAATGATTGGCTGATAGTCTCTGTAAGAGATTTATTCATAGAAATATTGAAGAGCGCAATATTATGTTGCCATATTCAAATAAAGATTTAAAAATAAAAATGTTAATTGCCACATTCCAATAAAGATTTTAAAATGCAGGCTAAGTGTCTCTAATTAAACAAGTATATGTTCAGCTAATTGTCAGCCTCTTACATGTGTGCTTCTCAAAAACAATTAGCGGATATGCATATAAACAGCCTTTGAATTAACAAGGTAGAATAATCATGGCTGATAGTAAGACATGCAAATGTAAAAAAAAAAACAAACAAACTGGATGCAAGAACAGCTGTTATTTCTTGCTTCTTGCCCAATTGGTTAATGAAAACAAGGATATAATCAAAGGAAAATTTGGAGTTAGGATAACCTCCAAAACCAAAGGTGATACCTTGTTAACAGCTCATTATCATCAAATGTTTCTAAAATGTTTACGTTCAGAGGCATATTGCCGGCAACAGCCATTTTAGGATAGTTTGTGATTTGGTATTATAGTGACTTAGGACTCCTCTTCACTGCTCCTAACCTTGGCATAATAGCTTAAAGTGCTCTATTTTCACACACTAAATTTGTACTTAATTTACTAAAAAAATTATTCTTTAGTACCTCTTAAGATAATCTTAAGAACATCTAATTGTACTCAACTGTGCTATTTTGGGACACCATGAATATAAACTAAATTCAAGTGTAGTACAAGTGGTAAAAGAATAATTTTTAGTAGCCTATATTAAGTACAAAATTAGTGCGTGAAAATAGAACACTTTAAGTACATTATGGAAGTGCACTTTTTTTCCTCCTGGGTCTGAAGAGAACATATCAGAATCATACAAGTGGACGAACAGTCAGTGATCAGTGCACTTGTACAAGTCTAAAAAAAAAAACATTATTTTAAAGTCTGATTAATGTTAGAAACACTTTGAGAAACATTACTGAAGCAGGCCTGGCTCCAGAATCAAATCACTGAGGATGCTTCTTAAATTAGTGAGGGTGCTGTATATATATATATATAGGCATCCGTTGCTATGGTGCAAAGAGCGCTCTTTTCATAATCACTAAAAAGCTGTCACTCATCTAATCTCACAAAGAAACGTTATTATCAACAAAGTTCTCTATGCTGCACAACGCAAAACACGTTGAAATAGAAACCGATCTCCAGAGCGCAAACCATAACGCACCGGATAGTTTGCCAAATCTGCAACAAAATTCCATTATTGCAGCTTTAACTGAGGGTGCTATTGATTTCATTTTTCGTTTCCAGCACCCTATAGAACCAGACCTGTTAACATACAAAGCTGCCAACATGTGCATTTAGCATGCAGATTTAGACTTGGCTTATTTATTTTAGTGATGGTGCACAATGTCAGCTTTAGATTATTAGAATTATAGTGAGTGTTTGAAAAAGTGTCCATGTGAATGTTTAATAAAGTGGCAACATTATCAGAAAATGTTCAGATTCCTTTGAAAACATAATACATTTTAAATCTAATAACAAGTGTCTTTTTTTAAATAGCCAGTGAATCTCTGCCAGAAAGAAGAATTGTTCTTCTTGGAAAAACAGGAGATGGCAAAAGCAGTACTGGGAATACAATTCTTGGAAAGTATTTATTTTCAAGTGCTGCTTCACCTGCATCTGTGACAACTGAATGTGCTAGCAATGAAAACACTGTTTTTGGAAGAAAGATCAGAGTTATTGATACACCTGGATTTTTTGATGCCGATCATGATGATAAGAAGATCAAACATGAGATCATAAGATGTATGATTGAATGTGCTCCAGCTATTGATGCCTTAGTCATTCTCCTGAAGGCTGGGAGGTACACAATACAAGAAATGGAGACTGTGGATAAAATTGTTGAATGTTGTCAAGAAAATGCCTTTAAACACTCAGTGGTTTTATTCACTCATGGTGAAGAACTAAAAAATCAAAGAATTGAGGAATTTGTTCAGAAAAGTCCAAAACTACAGGAGCTGGTTGATAAATGTGGAGGTCGCTGTAATGTCATCGACAACGAATATTGGAATGATTGTGATTCGGGGTACAAGAGCAACAGGGTTCAGGTGAAAAATCTGCTGGACAAAATAGATGAGATGGTAAAAGTGAATGGCCGCTATACCAATGACATGCTTAAGAAGATGGATGAGAGAATTCAAGAGGAGACTGACCAAAATATAACCAAAACCATACACTATATTACAACAATACAACGCACCGTACAACAAAACAAACCTCTTTCTTTGCAAGAGAAAAGAGAAAAAGCAAAGCGCATTGTTCTTAAGGAATATGTGAATAGGCTTGCAGGAGTGACGGCAGGGACACTGATGGGTGCTTTTCTGGGCATTGTTGTTGCAGTGGCATCAGTTGTGACTTTACTTCAGCCAGAAAACCTACCAACAGTGATACAAACAGTCAACGCAGCAGCACAAACTATAAGTAACATGCACACAGGAGAAATAGGGCCCAATGTGAAGGCTGCAATCACTGCAGCGGCAGCGGGTGTCTTTTTCGGAGCTCCACCTCTTCTAGGAGCAGTTGTAGGAGGAGTTAATGGATACAAAGCAGCAAAAGAAGCCGATTCAGTGTGTGATGCAGTGAAGAGAGCAGCAGCAGATGCATGTGCAGAGAGGCCTTACATGCAAATGAGATGGTACAAGATTTTGCTTCTGTTGCATTTAAAAAAGACAAAAAGGAAAATTGATGTGACAGAGGGCTAAAATATCTGTACTATCAACAATCATAGTACAACACTTATAAGCGTATTGACATAGAAACTTTTTTTTTTTTCTTTTTCCCAACTTCTCTAAAGGAGAGGCCATGATTTCTTACATGGTCAATTAGGGTAACCATGATTCAATTAAAATTAATCTGCACCTTCTATACCTCTCCTTCCTCCCCTTCTACCCACTTCTATATCCATGTCTTCTTAAGGTTTCTTCTCATGCTCTTTCCACCATATCAATGCCCTCCTCTCCACTAGTCTCTTCTCCTTCTCCTCTCCTCTTTTGTTACATCCTCCTCTCTGCTCATCTCATTCTACCTGTTCCACTCTTCTTCTCTCTGTCATTACACCCCTCTCTCTACCTACTCTACAGCCTTATAGACTTACACCCCCCTCCCCTTTTTTATTTTTGCATATTATTTCTTGCACTTTGTATACTTTCCCTTTTAATATTACTGTAAAGCAATTGTGATAAATGTGTAAACGATTCGGAAAAATGCATTTGCTGCGTTGTGTGTTTTATTAAGCAAGTAGTTATCAGTTTACAGCCAATTGGCATTTTCATTAGATAGTATGACAAATTGCAGTTTTGTTTGTTGTGTTTGGACAAATAGTACATAACTGTTTGTGATTTGTGTAAAACCAAAAACAAAAGATGCATTTTTTTTCTGATATATTAAAATTTTGATTGCCTGTATGAACTATTATGAAAACATTTGAGAATTTTATGCACAATGTTTTGAGAATATTACTCACATGATTTGTAATTTGCATGAAATGAATGAAAACCTACAATCTGTTTAGGACAATTACAAAGTATTCAGATCGCTGTGTTAACTGTTTTGAGAACAGTGACCTTTGAGTTTGGAGACATTTGTAATGCCTAGCATTTTTGTTGTTTATGTTAGTTTTTTATTTTTAATAAATGAAGAGAATTAATGAGTCTCAATTCCTCATTCACTTCTGTTGAAATAGCATTTAAATTAGTTTGGGCAAATGAGGACATGAATTAGGTTAGCTACTGCACATCCACCCATAAAAAAATACATTTAAAAATAAAAATGACCAACTGATTGCCAACACACAGCTATCTGATCCATGACGTTACTATGACATCGCAGTTACTACCTGGCAAAATCACAAAGTTATGTTGTGGTGACAAAACCGAGAATTTCACTTTTTACACTAGTTACTTTGCCACAACAAAAGTTTGGTCATCAAATTACATTGCAGTTACGTAACAGTCACGTATTTTTGGTAGCTGGCATGTCTGTGTTCGGCTAACGCATATACCATTATTGTTTGGGTCTTTACTGCCAAGCTGTGGACCTGTTCCGCTACAACAGCTTTTCCCCTCTGATTCTTTATTTTTAGAACACAACAGAGCACTATCATTATTATAATATGATGTATTATTAATAAGCCATAATATAGTACTGGTGATGGGTGTTCCGTTTCCGGCATGCGCTGTACGCAGTAGACCATTCACAACAGACTGGGTCATCTGACCAATCAGAGCAGAGTAGCCTCACACAAAGGAGGGGTTTGGATAGATGAGTCCTAGAACAAATCGGTTGAGAGTCGTTGAGAAATAAGGTAAAATTAAATGCATATTATAAGAAAATGAAAGTTTTTTTGACCTTGCATGCATATAAACCTGTTGTTCAGGACTCCCAAAACCAAATTATGAACCTTTCAAATATCAAAATAGGGGCACGTTAATGCTGATAACTGATTAATGGCTAATTTGGTTCTTCAAACAAGTTAGCAAATTTGATTAAAATATCTGGATTAAGTTGGCTGAGATTACTCCGTTTCGGCATACTCATTGGAAAGGGCAGATATATCGATACTCGAAATCATGACCAGCAATGAAGTGATTGGCTTGCGGCAAGACAGCCTCTTAATGACATCATAAAATTAAAATCAAGGAAACAGCATACCCAGCAAAATGGCATGAAAGTTCCAATATATAAAATAACTGGGTAACACTTTACATTAAGGTTCCGTTTATAAAGGTGTTCATAAATGACTGATAACTTATTTACAAATGCATTATACATAATTTATAAGCAATTATAAATGCATGAATAAAAAGGCTGATTTTAATGCAATACCTGCCAAATAGTGAGCCATTTTTAACTCACATGCCATAAATGCTTAATAAATATATTTATTACTACTTATTTCACTCAAAACTAGATTCCTGATTTCATGATGTAGCAAAAATAGAATTTTATAGTGAGTCTGATAGGTGTTATTTATATTTTTATCATTTATATCTCATTAATTATGAACCTTAATGTAAAGTGAACAGCTTTGAACCATTTATTAGAGTTATAAACGTTAATAAACTGTGAAGGTGAACCTTAATGTAGTGAACGCCTGTGAACCATTTATTAATGAGTTACAAACATTAGTAACCTGTAAAAGTGAATCTTAATGTAAAGTGGACGCACTAATCATTTATTGATTATTATTGCACAAACAGAAAAAGTTGGCATTTTTCTGGGGGAAATGTAATTTATTGTTGTTGCACTATATCAGTAAACAACAAAAAGATTAATCTTTTCTTTCACAGCACATTGGAACATTACTGAGTATAACTTCACACAAAAAAGAGGCTTATATAAGTAAACTCAGATGAATCAATTCAGAAAAACAATCAAGTATTCCATTCAATTATAACTAAGCATCACATCTATTTGACAACAATATTTGATAAATTGAAGCTCAATAAAGGCACCTAAATATTTATATTTGATCTAATTTAACAGCTTTGAAATAATCATGAAATCAATGACGAAAGCACCGTTACAGAACATTATCATATTAATAAGCAATCAGTAATGATTTTTGATATCATGA